CCCGCCAAGCTTCTACCGCCTCCGTTGCCGCCGACCCTGATTAACCCGGCATTTTCAGTATTCTTGGGATCTCACCCTACTTGATCTTGATTATGCGGACCATATCTTCTTGCTATTTGACGATGTTGCGGCGGCACAAGCAACCATGAATAGCCTCTCTAAAATGGTCCTATTATTTGGGATGCGCTTGGCACCTTCAGAGTGCAAAGGGTTGGTGCAGGACAAACAGCCATTTGCTAACCCCTTAATCCTTAACAAAGGGGAACTCGAGGTGAACGATTAATTCACTTACTTTGGCAGCTGCATCAGCAACGATGGGCGCATAGAAGCTGAAGTGAGTTCACGCATTGTAAAAGCCAGAACTGCCTCCTTGAACTTGCGGCACCTTTGGTGACAGAAAAGAGTCCACTTCGTTTAAAAGACCATGTTTACAAGGCCACAGTGCAGGTCGTGATAATCTATAGACGTGAGACTTGACCCCTCCGGTTTGATGAATTCGGCGCATTCAAAAGTTTGACACTCGCTGTCGGCGAGGAATAGCTGTTGTCAGATGGCATCTGTGTGAACGCAACGATCATGTGCGTAGGCGAGTACTAGGCAGTGCTAACCAAGATAGTTCCTCAGAACAACAGATAGCACTGAATAAGTTGCGATGGTTTGGGCGCGTACAACGTATGCCTTTTCACCGGTTACCTACGAGAGACTTGTTTTGTCAACCAGATGTAGGGTGGCGCAAAGCTCCCGGTGGATAAATGTTGCCATGGCAGCGTGAAATGAAGTCACTGATGAACAGGCTGGGTGTCCTCGGTTCTTCTCGCTTTCCGATCTGCAGTCCACCTGAACCTCTCTGTGCTTAGCTCGAGACTTTACAAAACATGGCTCGCAGTTGACTTCAGTGACGCGTCTGCTGTCGTCGCCCAGTCGGACTGCCTGTTTTCAAGTATGTTTGGTGCTGTTATCTGCGGGTTAATGGCTGATTATGACGCTTGACAATGAAAGACGTCAAAGAGGCTGTCTCGTCGATGCCGCCTTATGTTTGCAAGATGAGCAGCTGTTTGTGACGGTATGTTGTTAACACGCGGTGTAGGCGCCTTGACGCTGAATGTTTGCTTAAGAACTCAGGTTTTTCTGGTAATTCCCCTCCTCTCCCTCTTATTATGATTCATTTCATCATGGTTGTATGGCAGAGAAACATCAGTTCAAATGGTTGATGTACTGCAGTTTTTGATAGCGATGAGTATTCTCGGTCAGCATCCTTTATAATTTGTTGAAAGTGGTGGGCTTTTGAGCGGTCGCCCGACGCGCACCAACCTCTTTGTCTCGTTGATAAAGCACCACCGTTCCAAATGATGATTTCTGTTCTATTGACTATGGATGGAACACGGCTCTGACATGCCACGAGTGAAGATGGTGTTTAATCGATTTTGCCTGGTCAAGTGCTTCTTTCCTAATATCTGCGCGCTCTAAAAGACAACAAGTTAGACAGACATTCAGCAGGAGCCCTTTGGTAGCGCACTTGCGTAGAGTAATAAGTTTTCTGCGTCATAAGTGTACTTGTAGTCGGCTTTCGCGAAAACGTTGGAGGCCGGAAGTAAAATACGACCTTTGGGAAAAACTCACGGTCGAATAATAATCAGGTACACTTGCGTTTTAATTCTTTTGGTGTTACCGTCTGTCAAATGCCAATTGGTGCATCGAATTTATACATCCGTCTGCTGGAAGGACGTGGTGACAGCGCAAGCACAAGCAGCAACGAATGAAACCGGCACAACGCGATCACGAATGAAAAGTTTGTTCAAATCGTTAATTTAAACTAATGTTAAAAAATGGTCGGTAAAGTAAAATATAGTGCACTCACAACTGCTACAATCTGTAGCGTCTTTTAAATCAGATCGGGTAAGGAGTTACTCTTACTTATAGTGTGGCTTGGGTTTTGCCGTTCATCATGATGCACATATTTTTGATTGGGCTTGATCTACAGACTAAATTATTGGCGCTATTCTTAGCTCCTTAGTTTTAAGCTTCAGGGTGGAACGATTGTCACTCCAGGATATTTGCCAACTGACGATTATCTACGTTTTGTCTATATGCTCGTTTTTGCGGTGTTTACATTAGTTAATACCTTAAGGGTAACATCTCGGGTGACTTTTGCAGCGATCTGCCTATTTAGCTGTTATTCCGAGGGACTTGGGTCCGACTAGATTCCATTGAGCTGCAGATGCGGACGGCTTTATTTCGTCTGTTCTATTTTTGATGTTGCTAGAAGCCGTTAATACTGGCGAAAATTGAGCGATCAGTTGTTCTGAGTGGGGTCTGATCTTTGTATATATGAGTTCCGCTTAAATATCGGAGCTTTGGTTTATTTTTGTTTGATCTTCTACCAAAGTTAGTGGAGCTGATTTGGGTTGGGACTATGCAAATCACAGTTGGGGAGAAGCAATTTGTGCATTATTCTGCAGTTTAGAAGAGATTACGCTTTCCCGGCATATACTCGGATCCAATGGAATAATCTTAAGATTCATCCGCCGCTCGGGTTCAACTACTAGGCGGTCGCACTACTGAAAAATATAAGCACACAGGCTATAAAAATAAAGCACCTCTTATTAGCTGTTCCGTTCTCGCACATCTTTTCAGAACAATTAGCACACTTTGAACGACTCGATTAGGAACATAGGGGCAGGGCCATAACACGTTAACGAGAGCAGTCTCTGGATTCAGAAGCTGCCCTTGGTTTGGAGCCATTTTTCCTTCGCGCCCAGTTGATTTTTACCACTCAGATTGATCAGTCACCTGACACAGTGGGTTTGTCTAGGTTCTATATATTTCCGAATTTAGTTGGTTGACAACAACGGTAGGACAATCGATGTGTTTAACAAGGTTAGGCAAGCTTAAACTAGCAATTGGTGCGACTGTGTATCTTGTTATGTTTTATTAAGCAGGGTTACACAGTAGGGCTTGCGACTTTGGATTGTCGATATTTTCCGATTGAATGCCGGGAAGGCGGTAACGTAATACACGATGCGGCGCGAGCACTGTAAACGTTATTTAGGATGCACTATCTCCAGTTAGAAAGAATGCCTCAAAAATACTTTACCGAACGAGTGTAAATCAATCGAAGATTTACCTGAAAAGGTAGGTGGTTTCGCGTGTAAGATTCATCAAACATCCTCTACAATACAGAAATGAATCGGATAGTGAGTCAGTAAGAATAGCCTGGAGGACAATTGTTTACCTTGTAAAGCTGATTAACCACAGTTAAACGAATTTATGCTCAATGTTTTTCAGCTAAAGGTGGGGAATGCTTCAGGAAAGACAGGAGCGCCGTCGTTTTGCGATTGTGTGTGTCAAGGCGGTAAGGGCATTTTAGATGAGAAATGCATGGAGCGTCAGCATTCCATATTAGACAACTAGGCGCACGGCACTTTAGAAGTTGACAGCGTTGCGCTCCAACACATACATTCGCCACTTCGGTTAATCGGAGTGCTCAAGTTATCTATCTTATGGGGCCATTGCAGACTGATCGAATTTTTTGAGCTTAAACCGAGAACTACAGAATTTAATGACAGGGTTTCACATGCTTTATTGCATAGAAGAGGAATTGTCAACGTAGCACCAACTCTGTATGAATTCCTTGACTTTTGGTCAGGAAATACATTCCACCAAGGAGTGTTGTTTTGAAAAGCAGGATTAATTAGTTATACTATTTTAAATGCTGTGAATAACAGCATTGATGGTTTTCGCCTGCGCTAATATTTCCCAGTTCGCGGTACCTCGAGCATTTACTTATGAAGGTTCATAATTTCGCCGACTAGTTTAAAAACCATAAAAAATGGCAAATAATGCACTCAAACTGTAGCACTTCTCAACCCCCTTGTCTACGCTTTAGGCTACAAGCACTCTCACCAATTGTCAACCCTAAACCTGTGCTAATCAGGACCTACACAAATATCTTGACCAAGATCAATCGGAGCATCAGTAATTTTCTTGTAGCGTACCAGTTTTAATCTTAACAGCAAATTGTATTTAATGAGCGCTGAAATATTTTCAACAAAATCCGTTTGGGAAGTTGAGCTCAATCAGCTACATCGGGGTAGTTGTTAGTCCACTGATTGTTTGCGTCTATTTTTCGAGGTGCGGTCACCCAGCTTTAACACGTCTCTTATGTCACAGTTTTACAATTCTGCCTTGGTACCGATACTGGGGGAATGTTAGCTCATAAGACTATGAGAAAATATTTAGTCACTGTCATTTTTGAATGCTGGTAACCCTAAGAGCCTAGAGCAAGGTAGGTAAATTCGAAGCAGCAAAACGGGGACTCAAAGTGTGTGATATGTTTCGCACTGGCAAAGACTATTTGTTTAAGCAACTATCACATCTATTGAAGAAATCATTTGATAAGGGGGTTCCCTAAAACAAGGTGATGATCACTTGTACCTTTCAGACATAAGCAAAATGTTTGCTGGCAAGTTGATTTTATTTATGGAATCCGTCTGTGGACAGATAGCAAAATCTCAACTAAGTTTTTATAGCCTTCGCGTATTTTCGATTCATGTTCCTAAAGGTACAAACACAAGCTGAAATAATTCATAAATTGCTAAACACCGATCAATAGAGGCCGTGTCGATCTCATGTCTATAAGAGATCTGTACATCGATGACCTACAGTGCAATGAAGACTGGTTTCAGATGGAAAGCACCCGTCACTGTTGCATTTGATCCTTTCAGTTCTAACTTGGGTGCCTTTAAATGCATTCTGCAGTTTTCATTTAATTGGAAATCGGACCATGCGGTGCTGAACAAATTCATTTATTTGACAGTAGGAGGTTTGGATGTTTGTACTGGTATTCGATCAGAGCAGTGAAATCGTGAAAGTTAATTTTATGTTGAGAAACCGGTATATGTAGACAAACATAACCTGTGGTACATAATAATTATTGCTTGTTATAGATATTTTAAAATCAAAACGTTTGTCGCATTTCTGATAAACTTCACTATTTTCAGCTGTCCGGTTCGATTAATAATTTGCCTGCTGCTCAGATACAAGACATAAAATGTAATCTCCTCCGAATACTTGGCCATCCAAACCGAGGTCAGCTGCTGCTTGGATTCAATCAAACATTTCTGGAACAAAACAACCTAACACGAGTCCAGTTTGCTGCTAGAGTTCTCGAAAAACTTAATGAGTTCGGAAGCATGAGCAAGAATCAAACTCGCTTTGTCCCTGGGGCATTTATCCAACAACCGAGTAAGTCAGCTCAATTTCAAATATATTCTCCAATTGCAAGCCATGAGATTTGCTCACATTTAACAAAGTACTGTGATTCTGAAGCCTGTGCATCAAAACATCTATTTTAATGTGCTCAGGAATACCATCATTTTACCGTCCCAAAACATGACCCAGTTAAGCAACAAAACTTGATGATGGACGTGCAATCTTGTGTACCAGAATTCACTGTGATGCGGTCGTTTCACTAAGCAAAGTACACTTAGTGAAATATTCTCGTTAGATGCTGTGAAAGATGTGCAATATGTTGGATGTTTAAACACCAAAATGCGCTAAGTTGGTTTGCCCAAAAGTAATTCTGGATGGACTTTGATGGTCAAAACCATTTTAGACGCATCTCAAATTACCTAACCTATTTCACCATGTACGTTTTATCCAAGGAGGAAAAGTGCTGTGCTCTGTGTCAATCGCAGTAACACGTTCCAACGATTTGCTTACTCTACAAACCACGAAACTATCGATTTATATGATGTAGTTTCTTACTTTCAGGTGTCTACTCATTTGTCTCAGCACGCGGTCTTGACTCAGGTAAACCAAGTTGGCTGGTTTTCCCTTGAGTACTACCTCGTGGAAATTCGATCCGATTTCAATACACGCAAATTTCAGTACAGCCAAACCCACTGTTATGAATGCATTCCACCTATCCTTTATTAATAAGTAGAGCTGCATTTACTATAATGCTTGATTGGCTCGTGTATCCCATTGTTTCCTTTTCTTTCTCACGGAAGTTAACTGCCCCTAAGGTTAAGCGAACTGGTCTTATTTATGCGTTATTAATCCCTGCGATTAGCAGCATCCGGTTGTTTATGCTGTGGGTGTATTAAAAAGGTTCTTTCTTGGTGGATTTGTTGATGCACCGAAATTAATTGAGAAAAGCTCTACGTCATCCTGTAGATTTCGCGTCAGTCTGTATTCCGCTTTACAAATTCCATCGTACAATTTTGCATCGCGTGCACTCTATTCCTCTAAAACCCAGGAAAATTCACCATGTGTTTCTCTTCGAAAATTGTTGCACACTCGGAAAATGAACTTTCGTGCTTTGATTGCCCTGCAACCTTTCATATGTCAAGTGTTGTAGTGCCTATGGATTTCTTTTGTCTCACGCGTTCCATGCGACACACTTTCACTCGAAGTTGGTGTAACGATTATCACATTCGTAGGCAGTCAAAGGTAGGCATGATGCGACCAATGCTTTTCTTGGCCAACAATGTTTGACTGTGGGTCAGTCTAGGCACATAGTCATGCATAACAATTCTAGATTAGATACGAGGTTCTATCCAGTCCTCCTCCCCATCCGCTGACTACCAATCACATAATCATCAAGATTCTTCCGGAGGCACAATACTAACTGAGGCTAATGATCCATGTACTTGCTGTCTGTGAGCGCTAACTATCCAGCTAATTACTGTTCGGTGGCTAAGGTGCAATGAAAAACTTCCCGATGGATAAAGTTGCTTAACGATGAGAAGGTTCCTGCTGCTGATCAACAAAGAGCTATGTTGAGCAAGTCCCGAAGTCCTTCATAAATAAATAAATGAATAAATGGCATATTCCTCGGTGATGCGAGATGCAGTCCAACTATGTGGTCTGATCAATGTGTACAGCAAGATCGCAAAGATGATCAATTTGTCCACGCTTTATACAATGAATCCAAAACGGGTATTAAAGTAATTAGCAGGTTTAATGTATTAAAGAAATTAAAATGCCAGGAACAATGACAAATGCAGAGTTAAACAAATGTCAAAGTAAAATAATACGGCCACTCGTGGAATCATCCCCAGGGGACCTGCATCATACAAGGGATTCCCTCGAAAAGTTTCGCCCGCACTTCCATGCTATACCTGGCCCCGTGATAGTGTGACATCATAGTATATGAGCCATCATCAATTTATCGTATGCTGTGTTCTTTTTAGGGCTGTTTCTACCCATGTGTTATGAGCGATTAAGCCTCAGCCCAGTCCGTCGTGCAGATCATTCAATTACGGCACTTTTTATACGCCAGTCAGTTGGTGGCAATGTGCCTTGCATGGGTAAAGTCTTTTATAACCTGGAAGCTATAATCCGTCACCACGGCAGATCAGCCCAGTTGTGGCCAACAATGAAATAAGGAAGGATGTAAAAGAAGAGAAATTGTGTGAAAGATAGGATATCGTTAATGTAACCGTGGGCAGGTATACTTTTTACATCAGCTTAAAAATGGATCGAGCCGATCACACGATCCAATTGTGCGGCGTGACAACCGAAGATAGATACCTTTACAAGTTGTCCATAGGCAAAAAGCTTAATATGCAATCCGTAATTGCCAGCACTGAATTCCAGTATAGGTTTCTGGATTGTTAACTTCAGAAAAGTAGAGGAAATGGTTAGCATTGCAAAACAAATATAGCGAAGGGAACCGCAGTACGATATTACAAATTAATCCTTCCCAACATTACACGTTTCGACTAGTAAACATCAATCCAATCCAATAGCTTTTACACACGAGTACCGCGGATCAAAGTCCTCTAGCATGCTAAAAGTAGGACCTCCAGTTTAACATAACTTTGCTGCTAGGCTATTTGAGGTAGTTGGGTAAGGTATGTAATTGAGGAAATTCACTTGTCTCGACAAAACACCACTGAGAAGGCCCTGTTTCTGCAGGTAACTTTTGCCATCGAGGCCAAGATAAAACTAATGTGTATGCTGAGAAGCAACAGGGCGCATGTGCTCTTAGATATGGATCGAAGTGAACGAGACCCGCTTAACTGTGACATCAGCATACTAAAGTGGTGAATCGGTGAGGCTGAAACAAACCTCCAATTCGCAAATTTTTTGGTAATTACACGATAAAGATGACTTCATCTTAGTTAGTCGCGTACTCATCATGTACATCCGGTATTTCCTACGGCATCCTGTGTGTTGCCTTTACCAACGTCTACAGTCTTAAAAACAAGGATAATAAACTGTAACGCTTTGTTGCTTCTGAGTGACCAAAGGTAATGGAACTCGTAGAGATGTGGTTGAATGCTGAGGTACTCACCCAGAAAGCTGGCCTGAATGGCACCTCCTACTTCCGCTGTGATAGGCTGTTTAGTCGTTGTAGTGACGTCCTGCTTTACATTAGGTCATCACTGTGTAGAAGAGTTGTGCGCGCTCACCAAAGCGAGAATGCTATAAGTGAGCAGTTATTAATTAACTAAATCAATAAATTGGCTTTTTCACAACGGTGCGAAACGCAGGCCAAATGGTTTGTCTACTCACTATGTACAGCATATCCAAGTGACAGAGAAAACTTTTGAATTTGCTGTATAGTTCCGAGAGAAACTTTGCGCTGCTCGATTATTTACAAGTAATAGGAATGAATTGGGGGGGTCAGTTGTGGACTGCACGCTGTGTGATTAGGTTGCGAAGCGCAATCGCAATGTAGACCGCGATTCACATTGAAGTGAACCTAGGTCACTGCGATCACTTGGATCGTAGCCGAAGTTTATTGAAATTCGGTGTTGCCCGCAGTGTTTTCGGGCTGACAGCACCCAATTGCCATAGGGATACATGCTGTTGTGATCGATCCACCTTAGGCGCGAAGAGATGCTGGTGCATAAAATTTATGGCGGCTCCCAGAGAAGTTGTTTGGATTGGCTGCGGCTTCGCCGGGACCGCGTGCGTCGTCTATATTTTCTACTCATGGGTAACATCGAAGGTTTTCGGTTAGTCTGATATGAACTTAAACTTATCCACGGAGATTGTGGGACAAAAAATAAAGTTCGCCAAACTGATACGCAGTCGACGCGCATAACACCACTGCCAACTGTAGCGTGCTTAGACTTGATGTGAACAAGCTAACAACAGGTATGTGGTATTGGGATCTGGAGCTTGTGGCAAGAAGCGTCCACTCGGTTTACATTGACAAGCTAGATCTGTTACTGTAGCATTTCTATACACTTGAGCCAGCTTAACTCTACTGGGAAACGGTGCTTTATGGGATGCCTCGAGCCGCGAGCTAAGTGCATCAGTCTTTACCGCAATCCGCATCTGTTGAAGTTTGCTGGTCAGCCTTAAAGGATGGGGTACACCAATTGTGTAGCCCATTAGAGTCACTTTAATTTCGAAAAGTTGGACTGTTAAAGTCAACTTTGTTTGCTAAGTAATAAAGTAGATTAGCTCAGCGGCAGCGTAGATTGTGAGACAAATTCCTTCTTACCGGTTGGGTTGAAAAATTCGAGAGGCATAAATTGCTGCGAACTATTTGCCACAGTGCGAGAACAATTAAATGCTTGTACTTCGAGGACCAGCTCACAACCATTGAGGAGAGCGCTCCAAAGCGACCTCCTTAAGGAAATCGTAACATGAAGCCGGCAGATGACCTGCTAATACTAGAGGGATCAGACGGATGGCCCCTAACCTTTAGCGCTGCGCGTGCGTCTAGCTTGGCGGCGCGCTTCTTTCCCCTATTTACAAATTGCCATATATCTGTACAGTGTTCAACGGTAACAGTAACCGAACAACACTGTTTGCATTGGGGTATTAAGAGGTGTGTCAACTATCTGCCAACCTTGACGGTATCAAGCTTGCTGCCCAAGACGGGTTCTATCCACTGGTTGTAAAGTCCCCATAGGCCAGCATCTCAGCCGCCATAGCTGTTTTGTTCAACAGATTGCTGTTCATTACCCCTTGATTGGATGCGCTCGGTGTTAAGGCCGACTGCGAATGGTTTTGTCCGCGCAAAGTAGACAAATACAGGACAACTTTTTAACAGCTATTTTGCTCGGCTTATCCGAAAAATCGTGTAGAATAGTTCGTTGCAGTTGTCCCGCTCCTACGACATCTTGACTCCAGTACAGCACAGTTGGATACAAGGTTGTTTGTACTTTATCAAGCTACCTGTTACTCTGAATGAATGGTCACAGGCTGGGAACCAGGGAGAGTTTTCGAACTGATAACATCGTTCTAAGCAAGGCTTTCAACAAGAAAATCCTTGAAGTAGTTCTCCACAAGATGACTTTGGACTGCGCTGACGGTTCACTGAAGCAGGGATCCGCGAGTTACTCGTTAACCGAAAGCGGATGGTACAAGTCGACAGTCAGCTAACTAACTAGCCTCCCCCTACAAGTGAGGTTTCCCAAGGCGCGGGGCTGGAGCCCACTCTGTTCCTAAAGCACAGTAATTATATGTCTCAACTTCTTCGGTCTCTGTGTGCCCTGTTTCCGCATGACGTGAAAATGTGGGAAGGACAAACATCCCCAACATAAAAAGCGCTGCTCGATTAACGCATTCAATGCAATGTTCATAAGATTAATAACAGATGATGATGGTCGAGTCTACACCTTTGACTGCCAAATGCTGCATCTCACACATGCCGTGAAGGAGTTGCTTTACTTTTGCACTCCAAGCTAAACTCTTAGACAATACGAGCATGGTACACCGAAACGGACTGCGCAGGTGTTGAGCTCTTAACCATCGTTTACGCAGCTGGTCTGAGTAGGTACTTACTCACCACTTCACCTTCAGCATCACACTCATGTTGAAGTACGCCTCGCTTGCTTATTGCCCGACCACTCAGCGCAAGGAGCAGAAGCACGAAAGGGTCCAACGCCTCACTATCAGCTTCACCTCCAGTTAATACAGTTTGTGTAACGAATGCGGGTACCAGCGACAGAGACTGTGCATCCTCTATTATCGTCGAGTGCAAGTCGACCTTACCAAGACTTACTGTATTCTACATTTTAGCTACTTGTCCAGGCTGAGGCCACTGCTTTTCTTGCAAACACCATTCAGCACACGCGGACACCAGGGTACGTTCATGTTGCTAAATACAAAGCTCGTTCCCATCCCCTGTGCATGGAACGGCGAGTGGTTGCTACTTGGAACAGATTGCTGGCACAACTAGTGCAAGCAAACCCGGTACAGAAGTACAAACTTTGTTGGTTTTACATTTCTGCGCGGTTAGATTTCGAGAACGAGTACCCATTTGACAATGACATCTCACGATGTTGAGTCCGAAGTTACTACGAATTAATCGCTTTGTACTATCTAACATGCAAACTGATAAAGTATTAAACTGGACGAATCATATAAAATTAATTATGGATTCGTCGCAGCCAGTTCCAAACCGTCATAGGCTCAAAAAAGCACTAGACTGCAGTTTCAGCTTGTTAGACATCATCGGTAGTACGCATCCATTGGATCCATCAAGATTCGAACCCAAAACCACCAGCTGCTTGCACCGACAGTCAGCGGCGGATGGGACTGGACAATAGGGGATAGCTTCGGACCGTCATGGTTTACAAGCTAACCTTGTAAGGATATACATTTCAGTGGAGTTGCGCAGGTTAAAAAGTCCAATTGCTCTCACAATAAATAGTATTTATTCATAATATCAGAGCTTAACCATCCAACGAGCTCTGCGACATTAGTTGAACTAGAAGTGAGCAGGCTTAGTGAAAGTTCACCTTTACAGTCAAAACACCACGAAAATAATGACTGCTAAGTTGGAAACCGGTGTCTTTTTTATACAACTTGCCAATTCTATCTGAGAAAGCGATATTAAAGAATAGGGCAGTAAACGCGCAAGAACTACAAATGGCTGGATGGCTAGCAGCTTAGATGGAGCAGATGGTCATGAATTCATGTTCAATGAGCTGTTGTTTAGGAAAATAAGTAGCATACCAAGGAATCAGTATAACAAGCAACAGCATTAGGTCTAAGGTTCATTGAGGTGAACAAGTGCCGCATTCGTCGCATCTTATGCTTACGACGCGTGGAAGTTTTGACCAGGGAACAATGAACAATAAACAATGAATTTATACGGGCTGAGCATCTCTCCAAGTTCCGTTGGATACTTAGTGGGGATATCAGCCTAATAATGATAATGCCAATAATATTAAAACAGTGAGTTAAATATGAAAAGAAGGAGTTATCATTTGTTCCCGTGTGGTGTTTGAATCCGCATAGATTCACAGCACCCACAGTTAACAACAGCGAAATCAAAGATACACTGCAAGAGTAGAGCTAAGTAATAATGTGTAAGTTTATGAGTACATCATCCAACCGTCAGCTTAGTATTGTTATTGTCGGTGCAGATACGACCGATTCCGGGGAAGGCATTCCACGGGTGACATGCGCGAGTGTGAAAGAAATTCCAGCAGCACTCCAAACGGCTATACTGTTATGTGAGTTTCAATGATTAACCCTTCAGGTTTGTATCGTTGCTGAGTTGCAGTAAAGAGGGACACACATGATGGGGTAGTGTAGGGGCAAGTATGCCATAATAAGATCGCCTCGTAGTCTGCAACAGTTTACACTGAATACCCCCAATCGTTTCAGTCTCTCCTCTTACGAAATATTGCGCGTTCCAACAGCGTTCTTAGATGCCCGACCTTGAGGCTGCTTCAGTACATTAGGGTCGTGTTTTAACTATTGATGCAAGCCTGATTTGCGTATTCGACATGGGAGCGAACATACGCACTGGACATTTGTCAAAACTAGATCTATCTGTTTATCCGAACGCTCGTCACAAGCGCTCGTGTTGGTTCCTACTCTTCGAGGCCTTTTCGAATTGCCTGGAGCAATCCAAGTCATCATGAACGAGCAGACCCAAGTTACGTTCGACAGTTGATGGTTGCAGTACATTCGTTCGGAGCCAATATAGGTAGCTTCTCTAATGTCGGATGGAAAGTACCTTGCAATTACTCACGTTGAAACACAGTAAATTTTAAGTTGACCGTTGATGTACCATGTATAGGGCCATTGAAACAGATACTGGCCGGCCTTCGCCTGAATCCTGCACCATATCCTGATATCGTCGGCAAACATCAGGAAGTTTGAAGCGCTTTCCTTTAAATGGTCCTGAATTAACGTCAAAAATGGACGTAGACCTATAACTGAGCCTTGTGACGCACCAAACACGACTTGCATGTAGTCCAGTAAAGAGCTCCAAACTATGATCACTAATTGCCGTTGAAGCAAGAAGTTGGCAATCCAGCTTAGAAAAAGGTCGCCGATCCCGCAATACTGGATGGTCTAGCAGATCGAAAGCGTACGAAAACTCCTAAAGTCCAAATACCGCTTGCGTTGAGTAGATGCTTGCACGAGCGTCTTCTTCGGAAGCTGTGTTACTTGGCTTGATGATGTTGTAATTTTCCATAGCACCAGTGTATCGGCAACTATGGATCCTTGTGGATATTTTGTGAGTAGTGTACTGTTCGTAGAAACTAGAAGTCACGACTAAACTTCACACAATTATCTGCCTCGACGGGGAATCGAACCCGGTGCCAAGAGTTTCCGGTCCGCTACTCTACCACTGAGCTACCGAGGGCTGACGATTAGGTGCGCAATTTAATACATGACGGCTGCTTGGTGCGCGACGTTTTGCCAGTGAACGCGCAGTATCTGTCCTGGTGTTGCAGATTGGCTACTGCTCTCAGTACTTCTGGACGAATGGCGTCTACACCCAGGGAAAAGTTTTCTGGAATAATTCGGCAATCTAATATGCCCGTGATTTCACATTCGTGATAGTAATTTCTGTAGTCTGACATAATGGCACCACACACTGAGAATAAAAACACTACCAACTTTGTATTCTTATTCACCGCAAATAAAGTAAAACCTATAGTGGATTACGTTGTATGCACTGATTTCAAACGTTAGAGTAGTTTCTTTGCACTAGCGCCAATTTCTGAAATATCCCTTTACAACATTACCTTTCAGTATTGCTATTAAAATTTACCGCATTAACGCTGTACTATCTGAATCTAATAGGTTATGAACTTCTATATCTCCTTATTTTGTGCGCTGATTCTTAATATCATTAGCGTCAGTTACCTGATTACGTGTATTGGTGAATAGGAGTGTCTTAAAACTTAGAGTTTACGAAACAAAATAGTTCGGATCTGAAATTAACATTAACAATGTACCCTAGTAAGCGACTTCGTTTTAATATACAGTGTGTGTAATCTAGATTCACTTTTTCTTACAGCCCTATCATTTACCGTTACGGCTTTTGAAAATGGCGTAGAAAAGGTGTTGCAAAACTCTGTGGACGACTTAACCTTCAAAAGTCGTATAGACGAAATCGAATGCACAATGGTGAGTGAAATTTGCTCCGTCCACACCACGATTTGTCCTTTTATTCTAAACACCATACGCAGCAGTGGCCAATGGTCAATTTCTAAGCATTACGTTGACAAACACATCGGTTTAACACCAACCATTTACGTATAAAACTTTGGGGGAAATTACTTTACTGTATTACCTAAATGCGTACAGTAAATGTGCAGTAGCTTAAACAGCAGTTCGGTCAACGCAAGCTGTGTAAGTAATTAAGCATAGCGGTTTAGAAGCGTTTCGTAAGCGCTCCACTTTAGGTCAAGACTTGCCAGTGCAAGCAATATTCTTACCATACAAATGTTCACAAATTAAGGAATCCATCACTTAACATTGCTGTCTTTTTCATTGCTGCAAGATCATGGACTGGCTTCGCAAAGAATACACGCAGGAGATTGAAAGCGAATGTGCCTTCATCCCACCATCTAGGCGACTGTTTGCCCAAATCGAGATAAAATTTGAGCCTCCATTGCCCAAGAAAATTCAAGAAAATCAACTACTAAAGCAAATCGATAAGATGCAAAATTCTCAACCAAAGGAATACGGGTTGGACCGAATATCGCTGAACTTAGGTGAGTCTATTTATTTCTGACAAGCATATTCATAAACATGCATGGAAACCCATGGAGCTGGAACCAAAATAAATGGCAAAATATTCATTTCAAACACAGCTGTACTGACCAGAGCCGAACGTACCCATTTGATGCTATTTAGCAGTGGAAGATTTTCATCAAGATTCAATCCATTAAAAAGCTATCAGATGAATTTTTACAAATAACTATGGTGTTTTTATTATCAAAATCAGTTTCTCTAATAGTATGGAGGTCGCTAATCTGTATTACAAGGAGGTATTGTCGGATGCATGTCTTCATAATCAACCGGAACCCTTGGCCAATACGCCTATCGTATATACCTTCATCGCCAATATATTATGAAGAACACCCAAACGAATCCATTCAGACATGTAGATTTGTTCTGCAACAGAGCTACAAGCCAGGAATACTAAACAAATGAAAGGAAATGTTATCGACTTCGATTTCATGATTGATCCTGAAGCAAATGTAGTAAATCTTGTGTTATTTTGATGGATCCGTTCTTGCTTAGGATTCTAGGTGCAGTCTCTCTGTGACTTCGATCTACCTTGAAGTCAAAACTGACTAGCTACAAATATTTTTATAACAAAAGGCTTTAAATACGCGTATGAAAGAGGGTTAGAACATTAAGTCCAAGACAAATCGCAACACTATCTGAGACCCAACAGTAAAATAAACAATCTTGTGATCAAAAACGACTTATCGCCCATGCAGAGCCAAGTCGTGACAACAGTCACTTGCAGTAGAACCGAGCAAATAACTAACTTGAGAATGGGCAGTCAATCATGATCCATAGGGAGACGCAATGTTCAAGCAAACCTACCATTTTGCGAAGTGTTTGTTTGTTTGAGAATAAGAGGTCATTGTGCAGTGTGAGGATACGATTAACTCAATATCCTACCGGTAAAACCTGTAAGGATATTTTCTATACTGTTAACCTGCGGCAAAATTTGTCACCAATTCGAGTGTATTTGTAATCGAAAGTCTGGAAAGTGAGATGGAACGAGTTATAAAAAGGGGATAACATAGGAGCAAGGAGAGACGGGGGTCACGGGAGCGTGTTGTCCTAGCAGGAAGCAAATGTTAGCACAGGGTTCGGTACAGCAATACACCATGGTACTGCAAATGTGCGTTACAATCTTTCCGAGGAGACATGAATTATGGGTTAGCACCCTCACCTGCAGAAGGCGGATTCCTCGAAGCCGCAATTGTGAGAATCTTACTTACGTTTGAACACCCCGCTCGGCTTCCGTTAATGTGCAGTTTGAGTGCAGCATTTTTCCCCAAGCGAGCGTTGTAGCTTAGATGAAGATGCAAACCAACATAAAAATGACCCCGGCTTGGTGGTGGCATCGTCAGTGTGGTTACACAATGCCCATGACGACACCATCTCACATGGTGCTGAGACGTTTGCAACCAAACTGCCAAGTTCGGAGAAAAAAATGAACAACTGAAGGAACACATATGCCTAGATTTCCCACTGGAAGCAAACAAAGATGGTAGTTGTAAGTTGATGTGTCCTCAAATAGACCTGCTGTTCAATATCCACCCTCTTGGCCCAAACTGTCGCTGCACCATTGTTTTAGACTTTGACACAAAGTGTCTCCAATTATTGATGATCAAGAAATTGGTGAGACGTAACTCACCGCATCAGTAAATAGCATATGATTTACATCAGTGGTCACAACAACATGCATCTAGCAGATAAATACCCGTGTTATTTAGGACGAATTGTGTCGTTAAACTAACATTGATATGCATTACACACAATTTAATGCGATCCTATATGTACTAAAGTACTCCGGCATAATGCGCAAAGCGGAGCCACCAGGTGTTGTGAGTGGGTGGAAAACAGTTGACTAAAAGTTAACAAGTGCGTAGTACAGCTCACCTAATCAACACCAAGCAATATTGATGAGCGAATTTCTCCTGGTATAATTCGTTAGCTGTCTCTGATGCGCTTGGCATACGCTCACCGCGTGCGTGGGTTCATGTGTGTGTACTACGGCTATTGGTCTTTTGCCGTAACCATTAATTTGTAACGTGCTTCTGTGTGCTTGTGATTCGAATGCCTTGCGTTCTCTTTTTGACGTAAAGTGTTAGGTTCCGTTTACGCGACTAACCATCTTACTACATAGCTCTGTTTTCTGCTTTCCTCTTCGAGCAACAAACTGGCGACGGAAGGTTGGGGCGAGCACTAATGGCAAATTGAATGGCCTCAACTCAGCCGTTTTAGAATTCCTCCATGGAAAGGTCTACTATGCAACCATGGCTGCAGCGGAAAACTACCTTCACTAATTACTTGGATCTAGTTGTTCTTCTTGGTGGCAACGGTACGATGGATGACGCATCAAAAATGAAATCACTACCTCACTTCTTAGGCAACGAGGGGCAGTGACATTTCGATAGCATGCGTTTAAATATGAAAAACTTACAAGCTGTTTCCCACCCTCTTGATCGCTTGTGGAATGCGAAGCCATATGTGATTACAGAACGTTACAAATTTAACACCAGGGGACAGCAGCAAAGCGAACCTATAAAAGCGCTCATTTCTATGCTCTTACCTGCTTTTCCTGACTGACTATAACGAGATTGCGCTAGCTCAATTCAAAGAAGCAATGCTTTTAGAAGCATTAATTGCTGTTGTTATTGATGAGAACGCAAGAGGGAGTCTGTTATCGGAATATGAAAGGACCATGACTTGGGAAAGTGGCTATGACACAGTATGACAACGTACAAGTCTCGTTCAGAAACTAACGGCATTTTGCTCGCCTTAGCTGACAGTTTCCCAAGATGTACACAAGGTCTCTCCGACTAAACCTGATAACACATTGTTTCACTCCATATAACACAGAGCATTTCGTTATTATCGCTGTGGTAAACATCACTCAACACCGGCTGCTTGTCAACATCTTCACTTGACCTGCAGATTTTGTGGGAAGAGAGGACACATCCAGAAAGTATGTCTTTCCAAACGAAATTCCGCTGCGCAGCGAAACCTTACAACTACACATCAAATCACAGAGGAAACACATCAGAATAGGATAAACACCGGGAAAGTTTTTATTCACATTATCACAGCGAAGAAACACGTCGTGCATATCCAAATTAACGAGAAAAGTGTAGATTTTGAAATTGATAAGAGTTCCGCAGTTAGGTTGATACGACCTGATGCCTTATCACAAGTGCCAAAATTAGATCATCGCACGATACAACTACGATCTTACACTGGACGATTGGTGAACGTATTGGGGACTTTTCTTGCACATATATCCAACGGCCACTTGACGGATAACATCCGAGTATGCGTCTCTGGTGGACCCGACCCTAACATACTTGCTCAAGATGGGATTATACCACTTCCTGGTATCATGTCAAACGTCAACATTGTGGAAGCTCATCCGCAACTCTCCGGAATTTTGCAAACATTTGCATCCTTGTTTGACTAATCTAAACCAAGTTTGTACATTTGACACTGAAACCATAGGCAGCATCGCAATTCTGAAAGGCGCGAACTGTAATTTATGTTCTTCGGGACAAAGTTGACAGTGAACTCTGCTGATTACAGCATGTGGGCACAACAGAACCCATTCAGTATTCTGACTGGGCAGTTCCTATAGTGCCTGTAGTGAAGAGCGATGACACCATAAGTATCTACGGGAACTACGAGGTTACGGTCAATCAGGCGCTAAAACCAGACCGATACCCACTGCTAAAGAGTGAAGACATCTATACTTCCCTCTCATGCGCTGGATATTATTTTTACCAAACTAGACCTGAGCCAAGCTTACCAACGGATCGAACTCGACGAGGACTCACGTGCCTACATCCCCATCCACACACACCTAGGGTTATTTCATTACGGGCGCATGTATTTTGGAGTAAGTTCTGCGCCAGCTAATTTCCAACGTATTATTGACTCTTTGATGGAAGACGTACCGAACAGGTGATCTTATCTGTATGACATCTTGATTACTGCACGAACTGCTGAAGAACACCTAAACGCCTTGGATATAATGCTGCAAAAGTTGTCAGGTTATTGGCTTGTTTTGACAAAAGAAAATGTGAATTCTTTGTTCTAAATGTATAGTACCTTGCACATCAATTGTCACGAGATGGAATACTCCCATCAGAAGTGAAGCTTACAGCACTAGTTAGTGCATTAGTACCCAAAACTAGAATGAGTTGCGGTCATTTCAGGGAGCGATCGCGAAATTTTCCCGAATCCTACCGTCATTGGCAACTTAGTTGCACCCACTTCCGCAACACCTACGCAAAAGCCAACCTTGGAATTGAAACATAGTTCAGGAAATTGCTTTTGACTAATAACTAAGTTTTGACATCCGCCGAAGTTCTTGTGCATTACGACGCATGGAAGCCCATTGTTCTTTTCTGTGATGCATCACCCTAAGGTCTTGAAGCTGTATTACTGCACAAACTGCAGGACCGCTCCCTTCGACCTAATGCTTATGTTTCACGAACCTGCCGGCAGCAGAAGGTAAGTACTCCCAGCTTGGTCGGGAGGCAGCCTCGGTTTTTTCGGTACTATTCGTTTTCATCAATACCTACTCGGTGGACCTCTCTTGGTTTACACAGAACATAAAACTTTTGTACCACTTTCTCACCATGAAAAAGCGAGTCAGCAAATTACCTCACTCTGGATGATTTGTTGGGCGTTGAATCTCTCTGCCTATACGTACAAACTCAATAGGTCCCTGGCCTGCACAATGCCGCTGCAGATGCCCTCAGTCGGCTCCCCATACTGTAAATACCCGGAAGAAATTGTCTCACAGGAAATCGGAAACCTGATCCAAAACAATAACAAGTCTTCCGTTACTACAACAGGCGTACGTCGAGAAATCGATGGTGACCCTATTTTAGCACTTGAAACGATAAGTTCAGCTCGGGTGGCCAGAAAACACGAACAATGAACTCATGCCTTTTCGTAACAGATTGCCCCAACTCAGTCTCCATAAGGG